TCTGAAAAGAAATATGGTTTATTCTTATTTATAGACAAACATTTTATGCTTATGAGCGTGTCTATTACTGAATGCATGTGCATTCCCTGCTCATATGAAACTCAAACCTAAACTGTGTTCATTTTCTTGTGTAGAGAATATTTCAGCCTAAAGGTGCATTTGTTTTTGAATTTGAAAAATACATACAGATTTTATGTTCTGTGTTTTTTTGTATTAAGCCGAAAGGTCAATAGGTGACTATGTCTTTTTTGTTAAAATGGTTTTTGCATCATGCAAATTTGCAGTATGAGTTTAGTCAATGTAAAATTTAGTATGTATTTTTTTTAATCATCTCATTTGATACAATCTGTTTACTGAAACATACTTATAAAGATTCACTGATTTATTTTGTATGTTTTATCATTACGGTACAAACATTGTTTAAATCATAAGCGTTTTATACACAATTTACGAAAGTAATGAGGCCTTTAATACAGCTTTTCTACACTTTTACTGCTATCTAGTGCTCAAAAAGATGAAGTGCATCTACAAAGCCGTTTTTTTTGGCAGGGGAAGACAATGAAGCACATTGAATCACTTGACCTGTAATTTGGCTTCAATAACATGCCATAATTGACCAACGAGTCCTGACCACGAAACCGTTATTATTATTATTATTATTTATTGTTCTTCTATTATCATATTCAGCTAGTTGTACAATATCTGATTTTCTGTCAAATTTCATCTCTGGTTGTTTTTTTGTAATTTTACTGTACTGAACTGTATAAGATTTGATTGTGTAGATACAGTATGAAGCAACACATTTCACACAATTTTGTCTTATTATTTATTAATATTGTAACACTCAAATTCAAACGTGTGTATTTATATATAGGCAGGGCTCGAACTGAGGGGGGATGGCATCCCCCCCTTTACCACCCCCTTTGGGTTAATAACGTGTATTATGTAAAACTTATCATGCAAATGAAATGTCAAAATGATCTACTTAAGATATTTCACGAATAACGGCGATTGGCCAATTAGAACTCGGTTCTGTAAGAATCTGCGCACAAGCGGAAGCAAGCTTTCGTCATTTGGAACTTTTGAATTTCTTTTAAAAGAACAGAAAAGGTATGATTTTCCCTTCATTAGAATTTAAAAACATTCACCTGACAAAATGTTATTGTGCTGTTTCACATTGACACTCCCTAACTCTCTACTATCCTCTCGACTGTAATTGGAGTCATAGACCTTGCAAAAACCAAACAAAAACACGTATTGAGAGTTCAAAAGCATTCACTGCGTGATGAGGCCTATTAGAATACAGAACAAATAGCCTTATAACTCAAGCAATAAAAGAAAAATACCTATGTATGAGTTTTTATGTTTTTATATTCATTGCACAAGCATGTTTTTTTCTGAATATCAGTAGGCCTACATGCGCTAGCACAAATGTGCTATTAATGTTAATGGATGTTTTAATTTCCAGCAGGTGTCGACGGCGACTGGTTCACATACCACATACAAAACAATCATTTGCCACATTATTTACAAATGTTGGTATAATTATTCGACGCTCTGGGTGTGTTTCGTGTCACAGAACTGAGTATTAATACTGCAGTGTCTAAAATGAAACCGAAAGAACAGAAATCCATCACTTACCGTCCATGGCCAATAACAGTAGAAAGAGCAACATGTTCTGCACGTTGTTGTGAAACTGTGAGTCTGAATTAATGCAGACGATCTCTGGAGATTTAAAATATTCTGTTCCGCTGAATCTCCGTTGTGTTTCTGAACAGCGGCACGCACTGCTTCCAGTCAGACGCAGATCGGTCTGCGCAGAGCCGCATCGGGTCACACACACCTAACCAGCTTTTGACGCTTTGATGGGAGTAACTTCCACTACTCTGCAAACAATCAGCGAAAGCTCGTTGTTTGCTCTATGAACGCATAAGCATTTTCAAAAACTGGGTACAATGAGGTGACATTATGTCATTATGGCTCAAGCATTGCGCCGCGGTGTCTCCAAAAAGGGGCAGTCACACGCCAGTGGAATGTGTCAGCTTAACGGTGCATAGACCGTCTTACTGGCAAGGACTCAAGAGCACACGTTTTTCTAGGTCGTTAATTCTTATTCCATTTATATGTAATGTTCCCACTCTAAAACGTTGATTTTAAGCAGTAAGAAAACGTATTCTATGTCAACAACTTGGCATGACATCTGCTAATGTCATTCGCTCTCATCTCTCAGAGAATCGCTGGCGATGTGAAGCTAGACAGCTTTATTATTGAATGACAATTAGCAGCCAATGAATATGATTAGGGCTCTTATTTTGTTCTGTGTGTGCTTGTGGCGTCTGGTTGGTAAGTTATAAGTCTTTTTATTACTTCCCTTCATGTTTTCTTTTTTAATAGAATTAAATGTCTTATTACGGTGGATTTCATTAAAAAGTTTTTTTAGACAGTTTATTATTACTTTTTTTATTTACAAACGTAATTTACTTACTAGTTTTGGGCGGCAGGCTGATCTGCAGATTTTGCTTGATTGGTTTGTTTTGCATGAAAGTGAGTGCTGAAGACAAATCACTTCGCACTGAAATCCTCTGAACCTTCAATTCACGTCTAATTAGATCCCACTTTAAAGTTTTAGTTTACTGCCATTCATAATACAGATTTAGTTTGGTCATTAATAACCAACATAATGTTTTAGGGGAGCATTTAGTCTGTTACAAAACATGTTTCTGTTTGTTCTCTAGATGTGACAGAAGAAGTGAAGTCAGTGTCAGTGATGGAGGGAGATTCTGTCACTCTAAACACTGATGTTACTGAAGCACAGAAATATTTGTTCATACAGTGGATGTTTGGAAACACTCGAATAGCTGAAGTAGGCAGGCTCACACAAACACACTCGACGTATGATGGTCCTGATGGGAGATTCAGAGACAGACTGCAGCTGGATCTTCAGACTGGATCTCTGAGCATCACAAACACCAGAACCACAGACTCTGGACTTTATCAACTAACAGCTATCAGCAGTGAGACCAGCTACATGAGTTTCAATGTTACAGTCTATGGTGAGTGGAGAATAGCAGTGTAATTTTCCAGGACTGTTTTTTTATTTGAATTATATCGTTGTCATGGTAATATTTTAAAATGTTTCTTTTCTCTTCTTTTCAATGTTCCTTACATGCACATTTTATGGTATTAACTGTACTAAAGGGATAGTTTGCCCAAAAATGACAATTTCGTCATCATTTACTTACCCACAAGTTGTTCCAAACCTGCATGAGTTTCTTTCTTCGTCTTGGAACAGCTTGAGAGTGAGTAAATGAGGAAAGAGTTTTCATTTTGGGGTGAACTATACCCTTATCATGGTAACATCTGTCATTTTCAGAGACTCCACAAAGTTCTATAACACCAGGAAGTTCAACAAGCTCAAATTTTGTGTCGTCCAATTTAACCATCAACCAGACTGAAGATGTCAATATTACTGAACTCCATCAGCCAAGTTCAGGTACGCCACTCGTGATGTTAGTGTGAGAGCAGAACTCTGTTAAATGTGTTCAGTTAATGAGACATCAGTTTTTATAAAACTTTTAAGGTTTCTTGATTCTGAAATCCAGTGTTAGCTCATAGTGGCTTAATGTCAGATTTGAAGCCACGTTTCTGCAATTGTGACCAACCACAATGCCAATGCAGCACGTATTCATATAGGTGTCGCTTCATGTTACTGAATATGGGTGTGAAATTATCAACCACATTTGCAACATTTTCATTTACATTATATTTATGCATTCGATAGATGCTTGTATGCATACATTGCATTCAAGATGAGCTCATGCACTCCTAGACAAAGAATTACTTGTTTGTGCACATGAGGGTGAAGTGCATTTGCTTTTCTTTTCTTTTGTGATTTCGCTGGAACAACGGCAGACCACAGATGAGCGTCAGAGGCGTGAAGCGGGTGTCCAAGAGCAGTGTGTGGGTGTGGTGCCCCATGTAGCTCAAAAAGACATTAGTGCTCAAAGCAAAAAAAAAAAAAGATCTTTGAGAAGAAATGACAATCACATAGGTTTCTAAAAGAGCTGAGATTAAAGATGTCGCCGAATCCCTTAAAAGAGTCTAGAATAGCTTATAGTGAGCAATCCTTGCTAATGTCATTTGGCTAAGCAAAGAAAATGTGCATGCAAACACTCAAACACACAGTAAAGCTTGTGGATGTTCTGCCTTCACAGTGAATGCTTGAGTTCCTAATAATAACAACTCTTAAATCAGGCACGTATTAGTCTGTTTGAAAGACCGCTAAATGCATTTTTTTAACTCAGCATTTTTCTTTTCCTTTCTTTTTTTCAGACCACGTCCACTGTTGTGGTTTTACTGAAACTGTGATACGATTGGTTGTTTCAGCTTTGGTGAGCGTGGCTGCTGTTGCTTTTCTGGTTTATGACATCAGTTCTACAAGAAGTGAGCTGAACAGGATGCAAGAGACTAGATATTACCATCAGAGCCGTAGAGTACAATCAGACCAACATCAGTTGAGCAGAAGAATGAGTTCCAGATATGTTTGCTGAAGGTTGCTGGTATAATCTCAAAAAGATACAGATACATTTTTTAAATTCATTATCCAGTTATTTTATCGTATTTGCACAGAATGACATTTTAACTGATCTTTTAAATTAAAGGAATGGTTCACCCAAAAATTTAAATTCCACCAATGGATCCTCTGCAGTGAATGGGTGCCGTCAGAATGAGCTGTCCAAATAGCTGATAAAAACATCACAGTAATCCACACCACTCCAGTCCATCAATTAACATCTTGTGAAGATGAAAGCTGTGTGTTTGTAAGAAACAAATCCATCATTAAGATGTTTTGACTTAAAACTATTGCTAGTCCTCTGTCCATAATATCATTTTCCCTAGTGAAATGTCATCTCTTCTGAATCAAGAGAGAAATACGCTCAGATCAAGCACGATTTACATGGCAAAACAGTCTGAAACAGTTCTAAAGAAACGTGGGTGGATTTTAATGAAAGAGGACAACAAGGGATGGGCTTTTTCACTGGAGGAAGCATTTCTGGATTATGGAATTGTGGATTATGGCCAAAATCACCAGCATAAATGATGGGTTTGTTTCTGAAAATCAGTTTTTCACATCAAAAGATGTTAATTGATGGAGTGGAGTCATGTTGTTTGGACTCTCATTCTGACGGCACCCATTCACTGCAGAGGATCCATTGGTGAGCAAGTGATGTGATGCTAAATTTCTCCAAAACTGTTCTGTTGAGGAAACAAACTCCATCTCAGATGGCCTGAGGTTGAGTAAATATTAAGCAAATTAAAATTTTTGAGAACTATTCATTTAAATACACGGCTGTAAACATAATTTCCTCAGAGGACCTCAGAACCCTGAAACAACACAGAACTACCAAATTTTGCTATAAGTTTGATTGCAACATATAGTAATTGCTGTTAATACTGTTCATCGTCTGTTTGATTACATCTTTAATTGATTTCTATGTACATTATCTGACAGTCACCACTGATAAGCTACTACTAAATATATTGTAGAAACTTAATTTTCTTTAAAGTTGCTTTGCAACGATTTGTATTGTAAAAAGCGCTATACAAATAAACTTGAATGAATGAATAATGACCCTAAACAAAATAATTATCAACACAAATGATGGATCTCATAGCCCGTTGTTTCTGTTGCACCCTTAAATGACCCTCACAGAGGAAATTGGTGTGTAATTTTGGTAATTTTGTTTTTAAATAAAGATATGGTGAAGAGTTTGTGTTTAATTTTTAATGTTTAATGGAACTTCAACTTCGACTCCTGGACTTCATTGAGCATATCAGTCCCTCTATGGGGTTTATTTGTAATTTCTTCTACTCCTCTTTAGGGACACTAATGTCTGCTATGGGAATTAAATCCATTTTACAACAATGATTATATACTTCCAAAGTTTGAATTAATGTAAACGAGACTAAGCCAAATTCCATATCTCAAGCACTAATTTCTTCCACATCAAAAATAGCCAAAACCGTCAGGCAAAATATAAAAAATGAGGGAGAAAAAGAACACGTACCGTTTACAAATTTGATTGTCCAACAATGGAGCAGTTTACATCCTGTTGCATATAACAAAAATGTGACCCTGGAGCACAAAAGCAGTCTTAATTTGCTGAGGTATATTTGTAGAAATAGCCAAAAATACATTGTATGGTCAAAATTATAGATTTTTCTTTTATGCCAAAAATCATTAGGATATTAAGTAAAGATCATGTTCCATGAAGATATTATATATCATATACTGATAATATCTAACAATGCCAGGGCCTCTGGAAGAGGTTTGGATAAGTGATAGTTACGTTCTCTGTAGTCGAATGAGCAGTCCGGTAGCAGTGACTTCATCCACTGGTTGTGCTGGTAGTATTTTTTTACTTATTTTAGTGCCAGTACACCGACACAAATGAATGACTTTGACAATGACCATTATTTATATATAGGGGTGGAACGGTTCGCAGAAAAAAATCTCCGTACGGTTCTCCACACACGGTTCGGCACACGCTAGGACCGCGGTTCAACTTAAATCTGACAGCGCATCTGTAAAATGGTTTGCTCTAAATAACACGTAAAACAAACAGGGTTCGGCTAATGTATGTTTCTGTTGATGGATGCGAATTCTGTCTTATAGCGATGAAAAAAAAAAGTGGACAAACCATTCACTCTTGTTCAATGCGAATGCTGTATGCTGGAATATGAGCAGTCATTTATGCCATTATCACCCGGGTGCTGATAGCTTGTGTGCGCGGGTGAGACCTGAACAGCACACGTTGATATCTGTTTAAACTAAACTCATGTAAGCTTTGCCAGTTTAAACATTTAAGAGCCATAGGATGCGAGCTCGCACGTGCAGTGAGAAGATTTGTGCGTGCGCTCATCCGAAGCGCGCAAACCCGCAGCTCAGAACACGCGCAAATATTAAGCTCTCTCTGAAGTATTGTGTTTAAATGGACAAATCCACACAAAAGTATGTCAAAATGACCGTCTTGGTAAGTATCCTATAGCAGACATAGCCGGCTGATCTGTATCAGTGCACTGGATCAGTGCATTCTCTTAAAGTGACAGCACTTTCTTAATATTAATCAAACAACAACAACAAAGAAATCACTCACTGCTCTTGATTGAATAGCTTTTGTAACTTTAATAAAGATTAATCTTTAATTTATACAGTCAAATATGCAATGCTGTTTTACATTTCATTACTTTATTCAATTTCTGTACCTAAAAACTAATGTTAGACCTACTTAAAAAAAACTGAAAATCACTGTTTATTTTATTTGTATCTTTACTCCATTGTATTTATTTGTGCTGTTGCTTGTAGTTAGATTATTCTTATTTTCTTTATTTTTATTTGACAGTATAGTTTTTCCCTAAACATAGCACATACCGAATCGTACCGAAATGGTGACTCTAAAACCGTGATACAAACCGAACCATGAATAAGTTGAACCGTTCCACCCCTATTTATATACAATAAAATAAAACAATGAATCAGTTGTAGAACCAGATGTGAAACCAGCGGCTGTAATGGAACACATCAATTTGGAAGGTGTTATTCATTTTTATGATCACTAGATGGCCACAACATAAACCGTGTTGAAAAGCTTTGAGTAATGAACCTTTTTTCTGATACAATTGTGTTGAAAGCTTCCCTGGTTCAGAACGCTTCACGTCGCCATTACTAGTTATAAGCTCAGATCACGATCGAACAATTACTTACAGACATTACATCTCAGTGGGCTGTGACAGGTAATGCCGAGTTCACAGACACCGCATCACTGTTGGTTTCACACTGAACGACTATCTGGGGTAGCATTCAGTAGTTGCTGTGTTCACACTGCACGATGAAACGACGACAGGAGGTTACACACTGCATGACTTTACAATAGGAAGAATCGCCGACAATTCTGTCTGGTGCAGGGTTGCCAGGTTTTCGCTACAAAACCCGCCCAATTACTACTCAAAACTAGCCGTTTTTTTGGCGGGGTTCTCCTGGTACAATTCACATTCCAGGGCCTAAATATCACGTTAGGATATAGGAGGAATTTCAATTCACAGACCAAAATGAATATCAAAATAAAAGTCATCACAAATTGAAATATAAAGTCAGCACACCCTAACTAGCTTAAACAAGTTCAAAAGAAAATGGCACCCACCTCTCTACTAACCCATTCCCAAAGAATTAACAATATAAACGAATTAAGAACAATATACAAACAAATAGTAGCTTACAAACCAAAAAGTATAAAAGTATTCAAACATTTATTACAATAATAGTGTTAACACAATAGCACTGAAGAGAAATCCAAACAACAAGTCTTAAATTCCTCCAATCACAGTAGACAACCAATCATTGCAGTCAGCTGACAACCATTACTTCTTTCATACAGGAAATAAAGAGAGAGAAACAAATAGGTCCTTGGACGTAACTGTTACGCGGCACACAAGACGTGAGATGTACAGATCCATTTGCAAGCTTTATTAAGGGCGTGGTCAAAACAGGCGAGGGTCAGGCAGTGGCAAACAGGTATATAGAAGACAAAACAAGAGCAGTCCAGTAAACAAGCGAGGGTCAGTCGCCGGCGAACGTAATCCAACAGGGGCGAGACTAGAGGGATAATCCAGGTACAAGGCAAATATCAGAACACGAGAAAACAGACAAGGCAAGACTAAGATAAGGCTAGGAAAACTAAGCAGGCTCCTTAAGGTAGCTATCAGCTATAGCAGTGATACACGCTAAACAATACTGGCAGTTTGAAAAGGATCTGAGTGGGTGTAATATAGTGAGTGAGATTGGTTACAGCTGTGTGCAATGGATGATGGGATATGTAGTCCGGGATGATATGCAACAGTTTGTGTAGTGTGAGAGTCAATGTAACGGAAGAGTGACCTCTGGTGGCAATTGAACGGAAGACTGTGGATCTCATTCGTGCCAGTAACAAACTCTAAATTCAGGTCACAATTTGACATTCAGATAGTATTAAAGGGATAGTTCAATCAAAAATGAAAATTCTGTCATTAAATACTCACCCCCATGTCGTTCCAAATCCGTAAGACCTTCGTTCATCTTAGGAACACAAATTAAGATATTTCTTGTTGAAATCCGAGAGCTTTCTGACCCTGGATAGACTGCAATGGTACTATCACGTTCAAGGCACAGGCGTATTCGTATGATGCTGCAGACGAAGGAGCCAGCGTTCTGATGTAGAACCCGGATGAGCTGCACCTTGTTTTCAAGCAGAGGAATGCATTGTGGTACTGTTGTGAACGCACGTCGAAGACTGACACACAAGATAAGAAATTGTTGAATAGAGTCATTATTTTTGTTTTCTTTGCAGACAAAAAGTATTCTCACAGCTACATAAAATTACAGTTGAACCACTGATGTCACATTTAACGATGTCCTTACTACATTGAACGTGGTAGTTGCGCTGCTGTCTATGCAGGGTCAGAAAGCTCTCGGATTTCATCAAAAATATCTTAATTTGTGTTCTGAAGATGAACGAAGGTCATACGGGTTTGGAACGACATGAGGGTGAGTAATTAATGACAGAATTTTCATTTTTAGGTGAACTATCCCTTTAATGGATGGAGAAACGGGCTGGATTTAAGAAACATGCTTAAGAAGAAATTTCTTCTCAACTGCCATTTTCTTCTTATATTACAACTTACAAAATATTGTTAACTTTTTTTTATATTCCCAACAATTATTCTTTTTCTTAAAGATTGTTCTTAAAACAAAACTTAAGTGGAATTCAAATTCTTAAAAGAATCTTCTTAAAAATCTGTAAATACGGTACAGGATACATTCACTCAAAATGACCATGCATAAATGTTAAGATAAGTGTGTTTGCATCTCTTTTTCTGTCTGATAATTTATTGTGTAATCTACTGTATTCATGCACGCCCCTAAAGCATGTGCTAGTTATTTTCCACAAGAAGTAACGTTTCATATTGAATACGTAGTAATTTGTCTATCTTAATAAGCTGTTAGTTATTCTGTTTATCCATATACAGACTTGCTATATAAACCCTAGCATGAGCAGAATAAAGCTGACTTTGAGTGAACCTCACTTCCTGTGTCTGTGTCTGTTAATAAAGAATAACAATTTGGTCCCTTTGTAAATTCT